TTTCGTTTGAAAAGGCGAATGGAAGGGATTCGTAAGTTGGCATCATCAGAAGCTGTAGGGGAATTGCCCTGGAGCTGTAACTGTAGATTTGTCTGAATAGGTATTCGGCGACGGACATTGATTAGCGATAATCCTTACTCTGAGGATGTCCGCCAGATCATGGACGAAAGCTTAGCAAGGATTCATTGGGGTCGCATGCAAATTAACTGTCATAATTCCAAGGCAATTCCTCTACAGCTTCTGGTGAGGCCAACTTACGAATCCATTCCATTCGCCTCTTCAAACGAAATGAAAGGTGCTAGAACATTAATCTATTAAGGGATTTTCCAAAACCCAGTTTAAATACACACATAAAAGGCATCCTTTAAGATATGAACAAGTAATCATCAAGGGTTATAGTTAAGGATTCCTTAAATAGGTTGAATAATGAATGGCGAACAATAAATGAGGAAAAGGTTGGTTGATGAACAATAGTGTCCGGTACAAGAATGATTTCCACTCATTAAAGCGATACAAAATGTCTAATTATCTAGTCGTCATTAGCTTTCTCATGAACACACGCCTAAATACATATACACACAAATTGAGCCGCATATACAAACATACACAACAATAAGTGGTAACGCTGGAAATAGATGTACATCTTTGTATTGAACGAGAAGGATTAAAAAATCACATAAAGTAATAGGAACATAAAAATGAACAGGACAGATGTAATAGAAGACGTATAAGGCTACAAGTATAGTTAACTCTGAATAACATTTCTTGTTTAGGAGTGGCTGAGGCGAAAAAACCAGTTTTATTGGGACATACTTTTACCAAGCAAGTACATGTTAAAATATATTCTAAAAGTGCAACATTTAGCAAGCTTTTTTAACACTGCTCCTAGTTTTCTTCTTTCTCATTTTTGACAATAGCAAAATCGTCTAAAAGCGAAATTGAAACTGTGAAACAATGACTTTCATTGTGGTTCACTCAGTTATCAGGGTTGAAATGAACCTCCTGGAAAACCGCAGCTAGCCATAAACAGTTACTCAGTTTAATATGCTGGAAACTTCAATTGATATTTTCAGGCATTTTGCTGGCAGCATCTTCTTCCTAATCGTCCTCAACTTAAGAGTCTTCAAGCCACTTCCCATTTAGTTGGACGTACAAAAGGGAAACACGACACAAAAGGAAATATTGTGAAAATTGGCAGTTTTGGTGTAAGAACATTAATCAAATACTATAAAGTTTATTATTTATAATCATAATGATGATATAAAAAATTGGTGGTAATGATGGTGATGGTAACAATAATGACTACGATACTAATAAAAGCAAGAATAGCATAAATATAACTATATATTGAGCATGTCAACAAAACTGGATAAATAAAAATTATATTCCAATTTACTTGAAATTGTAAGGCCTGTAAACCAAGCCAATAACTAGGAAAAAAGAAAAGGCTTTATGATGTACATGAGTAAAATCCAAGTTCTTAACAATCTAAAGAGAATCAAAGCCGCGGGCTTAGACGCCAACAGCATTCAGAGTTGGATCCAAGACTAAGCTGAAGGCTTGTAGAACCATAAGCATTGCATTATTGGCCACATAGCCTGGGCGCATTGCCTTCCCCAGGCGCAAATAACTTAGAGACAGCTAAAAGCAGCCTATGTCTAAAACCTTGCGCGTTAACGGATAAGTTTACTGAGATCATCAACAATATACCACATTCTGACTCTACCTGCCATCCAGTTCAAGATCCTCTTCGTCTTGAAGTGCTGCCTCCAAGGCAGCCACTAACTGCGGTGCTAATTGAGGAGGCTCGTAATCGTGCGTTGTCCGACTCGGAAGGTCCAAGTCGAGTTGGATTAGGTTCTCACTGCGGAAACGTGGATTAGGGCCAAGGCGGGCAGCTAATTGGGCAAACCGACAAACGGACCGACGGCCTCCAAGAGCGGGTCGCAATGGCGGCACCAGCAGGTCTCCGGGAGCGCAGTTGTGCTCACTAGGGCCAATAAAAACACACACATGCACAAAGATGTGGGTGCACGTTTTAATTTGTCATGTCTTGTTTGATTTGGTATTATGCATTGATTTTTGTTTGTGAGTAGAATTTCGAGACTACCAGTAAATCAGTAATATGAGATGTATTCACCCCATTTTGTTTAAGGTGATGAAGGACTGGTAGTAGAACTTACCCGCAATTATATGAGTTGAGCTGACGTTTAATTTTGAATTTCACATTGCCTTGCTTTCCCAAAAGTTCTTCTCATCAAGGCGCCAGTGGACTGCAGTTTCGACCTCGCATCGGTCTTATCAACACCTCCAGCGAGAGTCGAACCGTGACAGTGCAGAATGTGAACGTGACACGTTAACCACTCGGCCACATTGTCACAATAGCCCTTGGGTCACAGGGCAGATGTGAATTTCAGGGAAGGCCAGGCTCTTTTGAAATATCACATTGTTTGGTGGGATTGTCGATGAAGCAAACGTATATTTGCTATATAAGTCGACTACGTTAATTATTTTTCGCATGTAAGTAGAGTTTCGAAAGCTTCAATGGAAACGTCATCTCTATTCATATAATTATGGGAAAATTCTACTTCCAGTCCTTCATCACCTTAAACGAAATAGGGTGAAGAGATCTAATATTTATGCATTTCTGCTGGCTTAAGCCTGTATGTGAGCCCATTTTCCAATAGTTACCAATAGTGCCTCCCTGAGTAAATATCACTATACTTGAAATTAGTTGGAAATCAAGAAAAAATAAGGCATAGGAATGAAAATTTGTCCAAGCTTTGAAAGATATAGAGAAGTATTTGCACATTTTCTGGAATAGTTGTCGAGCTCACCAATCGATAAGCGATATTACCCACAAAATATATTACTAAAGGGAATGGCCATTTGTGCATCCGAAGTGTTCTTTCTCCGAGTGTAAAAAAGCAAATAGCCTAAAACAGGACAATAAGAATACTGAATTTTTAGAAGACCCACCAAAAGTCAGTTTGCATCAAATAAATTTAGATAAAGTAGTATGCGAATGAATCTCAATGGACACCGATAAATTTAGACCAACGCTAAACTTCACAGTAGACTGCACAACCAATAGGCAATAAAATTAAAGATGAATTCGCCCTAAAGCTGGTAACACTTTTGTTTTTATTTTTGGGCACTTTGGCTCCAGCTTTCCCATTTTATTTTTATATGATCGGGAGAGTGAAAACTACCACCTGAGCCATTGTTAAAAGTGCATGCTGCATCATATTGTCTTGCCTCAGATTTTGGTAGTAAAGCATGCCAATGATACTGGATAACCCGTAGTTCTTAAGTCAAACACCAAACTAGCCTACCAGCCTCTAATGCTAGGGCATTTTCTCCAAGTTATGTAAAGAACTAACACTATTCAGCAGGTGAAAAGA